CGAAAGAAAAGCCACTTGATGATGGTCGAGTGTCTGTATGAAAAGCACTCGAAAGATTTTTCCGCGACTGGCGCGCAAATAAATTGAAAACTCGTTAAAAATCCATAATGCTTGAGGCGGCACTCGGGAAATGCGACTGCAAGATGGAAAAGGCGAATGATACACAAACATTTTCCATTCCAATTCGATTCAATTCGATTTCGATTCGATACGAACGTACTGGCATTCCACTTTATCGCTGCCTCTGCTGTTGGGCTATAAATCTGAAAACTGAAAAGCAAGTGGCTTTTCCTAGTGCACTCGCTTAATTAATAATTTTATGGCATTTTAATGGCCGGCCGAGGCAACAACGGGGAATTAATCAACGGCGTGATCCATTGCGCCAGTCGAACGGCAACCTCAGCCAACCTGATCCTCTAGTGGCTCTGGCCACCAATCCAATCCACCCATTGATCTTGTGCGCCACCACCTTCCACCTCCCTCACCACCCACTTCCACTTCCACCCGAAAGGTTTCCCATTCTGGGCGCGTTTATCAGCGATAAATCTCTTTGTGCTTTTTGCGCCGGCGCAAGTGAATTGAATTGAATTAAATTTTAATTAATTTTATCTGCACTTTGTGCCAAACACGCAGCCTCCACATCCCCATCCCCCTCCCCCAAGCCACCGCCCTCAAAAAGATCACTTCCCGTCCGATCGCAGTAATTGTGGAAAATTGAAAATTACCTCCCCCTCTGCCACATTTTCCTCGTGGGGGCTTTGATCTCCTCCATCCTTCTGGTTTCTGTTCGATCCAATGGAATTTCTTTAAGCAAATCGACGCCATGCTTAAGCATTTTGGCAGTAAATTTCAAAAGAAATTGATAATACTCATTATGCCCATCTGCGATTCCCAGCTTTTCTTTGTTTTTGTTTTTTTTTCTCCCTTTCGATGGCAACAATTTGCGTAAAATTTTTATGACTCTAGATTTAACGATGAATTCCTCTCAACTTGTTTGCGGACTGCCTTTTATATTTTTGTGGCGTTGCAAAAGGGAAAGCGGATCATTTTGCAATTTTTGAGTCATTTTAAATGCGTCAATGGTTTGCGATTTAGTTGAACTTTTTAAGGTATTTTTAAATATATTTATTTAATGACTGAACAATAAATTTAGTTTGGCATTGAACGAATTAAATAAGAAACAAACATGGTTGTTTATTAAAACCTTTTACACTTTATCTACAATTTGAATGTGGTTATTTCTTAAAGTTTATTAAAAGTAAATATATTGAAATGTGTTATTTATTATTAGTAATGGTAAATTTCGTTAGTAAATACTTCAAAAATGTATCTAAATTTTAAGAGAAACAATTTCATCCACCGACCCTTTAAAACACTTTCGTCTTACCAAAAAAAAAAGCAATTTACCTCACCATTTTGGCTTTCAACATGATCGCACTTGGGCCTTGCCGTCGAAATCATTGACCGTCGGCCTGTTGGCCCCGCCAATTGGCTTTCTAACCCAATTCAAATGTCATTTAAATGTCAAAAGTGTTCGCCTCCATTCGAAATGCTAACAATGGAAATACATTTGCGTGGAGGAGGCATTACAATCGTACAGAAATCAGGCATCAGAAATCAGCTTTCAATCGCTGACGAGTCGTCGCTGAATGTTGAAACAAATTTGCGCTTAAATTGTCAATATGACGGGGAGACCTCGATACGTAAATCGAAATGAACATGAAAAGCGCCGCTAATTGTCAGAAATTGTTGGACATTTTGCGGGTGCGTGTGTGGATTTATCCGGGGTTCTTTTGGGGCGGCCAAATCAATTGGCTAAATGTGTGTGGTCCCCCCGCACTGAACACAAAGCGTTTTTGCTTTGATTTCCAAACTAGTGTGTTTTTGGGTTCCCAAACCGAAATATTGCGTGACAGTTTGTTGAATAATTTACGAATTCGCTGGCCCCTGAACCCCCGAAATCGCTGAACACTTTGAAATGGCTCCTAAAAGGCATTTTGGTTGTTTTCACGCGCACCTAAACACACGCAACAATTTTGGGTATCTAATTGTGCGCATAACTGTGCACCTGGGGAGAGAAAAACACTATAGCTATTTACATAAATGTGGATATAATTAAACATGACACAAAAAAGACGACGAACTTTTCACATCGAGGGAAATTTCGGTCGGCCGGCAATTAGTTGGTTTAAATGCCGCATAAAAGCAGGGCCCCAGAAAGCTTGTCAATTACGCGTAAAATGTCCCATCCCCAGCCGACCATTGTCAACCCCAGAGATCTAGAGATCCGGAGACCTGTCAACCGATCCCCAGGCGAACCCACTGCGCATGCGCAACTTTGTTGGCTAACTTGGCCCAAACACGGAATCTGATATGGTAGTATATTTATATATTGAACTGTACCGTATATATGTGTGCATAATAATTTTAATGAACGGTTCCGTCTGCCGCAGCGATTGTAATCGTGCTTAATAATATTTACAGTGGTAATCTACCCGAGCGATGATGGCGCAAGGTGTCGCCATCGATATGCAACCCGGCCAGGCACTGAGAGAAAAATTGATGCAATATTAAGATACCCAAGAATTATAAACAAAGCTTTAAGGATTTTAAAAAATATATTAGTTAGGTTTTCTAAATTTTGTCTTAAATTATATTGTCCTAATACATATTATAAATATATACTGATTTTATTTCCTTTTTTTATTTTTTATTTTGTATTTGTATTTATTTTATTATATATATATATATGTTATGTTTTATATGTATGTATATGTTTTTTAACTAACATTTTTATTTCTTTTTTTTCTCTATGTATCGTTCCCGTTCGATTTCCTACCAAACCCAAAATTATACCATAGATAGAGCGCACCGCATTCCTCATGGCTACCTGAAATAATTGCCGGGGCAGCTGCGGCAGCCCACGGAAAAAGGAAGGAAGGATGCCACCACTCCACTCCAATCCACTCCATTCCCCTTCAAAAGTGGGGCGTTCTGCGGTGGCACACAAAAGAAATAATTTGGCGTTGATTGCCATGTACGCGTCCTGTGGTCAACACCCAAATTTGACACCAAACGTCTCCGCGGTCCGATAAATTGTGAATGATAAGCTTGATAAAGGGGCAACTAAGAAACCAAAAATTGTTTATTCCTGGCATATGTTATGTAAGTATTGTTTTTGGCCCAATGGCAGGCCACAGAAACATCAACATAAATAAGCCAAGGGGTGATGAAGTGTTTCTTAATAAATGCAGATTACTTGAATTAGTGGCCAGTGATGTTTATAATTTAAATTAAACTTTTTTGGGGAATTCAAAGAAAGGGTTTCCCATGCAATTATTGAGATTGGCTTATCGAAATTGAATTTATAAGTGCCGAAAGGTGAAGAAATAAATGGGAATTTGTATTTACACAAAAATATATTTATTATGATATTCTTGGCTTAAATAAATTTAATAGTGCTTAAAGATTTTCATTTCTCTCCCAGAAAAAAAAATCCTATATTTTCTTAAACCTTTTCTTTTCTTATATTATTTTTCCCACAACTCCCTATACTTCTAGCTACTTGTTTTCATTCACTGAGATTTCACCCTGGGGAAATAGGAATCCTTGGGCCGAGTTTTTCTTGAACCGCAGAGGATAATAAAGATTCCATGTTAAAAGCGGCGCGCGCACAGTAGCCATTGGGTACCGTTAGTGGACGGTCTGAACGAACCGTTATTTCCGATAATTTAGCGGCTAAATTCAAACAGAACAGAGACTCAAACGGCCATCAGGGGGGCGGTAAAGAGAGCACACAATGCAGCCGCAAACCAAAAATCGAGTGAGTCGAGGCGAATCTCCAGATCCAGACAATGAGGCCCTAAGCGAAGTCATTAATAAGCAAAGAGCCATAAGTAAATATCCTTTAAGGATGTGCCATGTGTGTGTGGGAGTGGATGGAACTGCTTACACCTACGACGCAATTTATAGGTTTTTAGGAATAATTTTTAAACTGAATAGAAGAATGAAAAAGATATTTTATATTATTTAAAAAGTATAAGAAAAGAAGTCCACAAAAAATCAAACTTAACAAGTGGGTTTTTTTTTCTATTTTTAAAAACAAATTTTTATTTAATAATTGTTAATTAAAGTTTAATGGTTTTTACTTTAAAATGTTTTTACCAAGTGATTCTGAATAAAATAATATTAAAAACAAGACTCTATAAAAGAAATCAGATTTTACTTTGCCAAACCTAAACATCTGAACTGACTTGTATAACCGGAACACCGAAGGGCACTATAAACATGTCGTACTTATGGCTAGCAAATATTTATGCACCCATATCGTGGCATAAAAACTGCCACTTTGCTCCTCAAACCTCCATTCTGTGTTTTTGATTTTCGGTTTCTCATTGTCTTGAGCCTTTTTGTGTTTTTATCCTGTGCTGTTTGTGTTTTGCCTTGTGTCCTGTCAACTCACACAAAACCGGAGACAAAGCGGCGTCGTTTTGTTTTGCACACACAGTGTCCGAAAAAAGATTCCGGACAGAGTGCAGAGCCCAGCGGGACTCCGATTCCTGATTCTCGACCACATGTTGACAATATTCCCTCTCCTTTCGACCAAAACAGGTGTGAAGAGATCGGCATGTGGGTGCAGCCGCTGCAGAAACTGTCCCCGCATTAATTTTAAATAATATTTTGGCAGATCTGCCCCCTTAATAATAAATGAAATTTGCATCGCTTTGTTTGCGAGTCTTTCGACAAATCGTTTCCGTTTTAGCTGCGTCATATTTCGGTTATTAATTATTTTAAAAAAATTACAAAGAAGCCTGAGAATTTGTTACCATATATTTACATATCTGAAAAGTTAAAGAAGATTTTAAAACCCAAGTAGGCGGCTAAATATAATGTCAGATGTTTAATATCTCCGACTTCAGTATAATTTTCCCATACGAGTGAAGCAAACCTTTATTTTCGGGGACTAAAAGCTAGAAGTTTATTTTAATCTTATTTTTTTAATGGAGGAATTCCAGAATCTTTTGGACGACATCGAACCAAGGTACGGAACATCACGGATTCCCATGTATCGTTCCCAGTCGATCCCCAGGAAATACGTTTCCAATTCGATGTACGAACGTCAAGTCCTATCCACTTTGGTGGATTGCTTCAATGAGGACGTCGACGATCCAGAGCTAGCTCAAAACTCAAGATCCGAAAATGACGGAATGGATAGGCGACATGCGAAGAATGTTAAGGATGAAGAAAACGTTTCTGATCGATACAAATGTCGTCGTCGCTCTCGATCCTTAGGTGGCACAATGGACAAATCGGACCAGATTTTATACCGTAGACCATCGAAAAAGTCCAAGAAACGCCATCGCAATGAAGAAGGTTCAGCCTTGGAAATCTATCATGAACCACTTGCAGTTGTAGTCGAGGAAAACAATATGGGGGCAATACCGGAAGAGAATCCAGAAATCGAAATACCAACTGAGAAGCAAGAGCTCGAGAAATTGCCGTTAAAAGTACTTTTAGTCATGATGTTCTCCAAAAAAATCAGGGTAATGATATGCCGGTGCTTCCTAATAATTTTCATTAATTGATTAATATGAAACTTTTACAGAATATTCTTGGATTTTTGTACTGTATTTGCAAGTCCTTTTTTGTCATTCTGGGTCTATTCCTGGTATTCTTTCTAATCTGGGCCTACGAATTCGGCGAACCAATAGCTAGGATTCATGATGCTATGGGCTCTTTGACCAAAGATCGTACACGTTCTTGGTGGAACCTTTTATAATCACACTAAATATTTAATGTAAAAATTCCAAATTGTTCAATAATCATGTTTTTGCATGTTTAGATATAATGAACAGAAAAAAAAGACTGGTTGTTTAAAAAAATAAGTATTTTTGGATATAAAAATTTTGTTAAATTCTAAATTTCACAATTATCACATTCTATTGTACTGTTCGAAATAAATAATTAATTTAGACCTTCAAAATTGTGCAATTTAAATCCCTTCGCATTCGGCAATCCGTGGCATTGTTCAATCCATTTCCGAAACCATAACAAATGACACTTTTAATCATTGCATATTAACGGACTAAGCCCTGACCGATACCCGCACTTCTGGCCACTGATTTATGGCCCAGACAGCGACATCCAACCAAAAATAACCCATTAACTAAATCCGCATTTAATAAATGCCAGCCAGCGGCAGCGAGTAGGTAACCGAAGGGTTAAGAAGGGCTGGGGAGCCGCCAAGTTGGCAGTTACAAGTTCCAAGTTACAAGACCGGCAAATTAATCACGCTGACGACGACTGCGACGTGGTTGATGATATTGGTCGACTGATGCTGACATTGAGGAGCTGCCAGCCGCACCAGCCATCAGTTAGCCAAGTATCCCCATTCCAGTCCAAGCATCTCCCAGTGGATGCAGGGCATCCAAAGCCAAATCCGAGTATCCCACTGTGCCGGGGGCATCAATCTGCGGTCGAGTCTTAACTTTTGGGCACCGTGACATGCGTGGAATGCAGCCAGAAATCGGAATCAGAAGCGTTGACATGACAACTCGAGATGAGGGGTTCGCGATAAGGACAAAAACTTTCTATGGCACGAGCATGGAAAACCTTTTTGGGCCATAAGCCTTGCTTAACCATTTTTGAATTTGAACTTTACACGGAAAAATAAAAATAGTAATCCCATTAGAAGTATAATTTATTAAATATACAGTGCAATACAAATATGTATGGAAAGTTGGGATTATACTATTGAAATTTTATTTAAGTATAATTTAGTAATAACAAGAAAGGAAGCTAGCTTCGGCAAGCCGAAGCTAATATACCCTTGCAGATCATTCTATTAATTTACAAATCGCAAAAATGTTAAATTTCTTACTATTTCACATTAATTTTTCGATCGTTTCTATCACAGCTATATGATATAGTAGTTCGATCTTTTAAAAATTAAAATCGAAATTCGGAAATATTTCAAAATAGTCATATCCCAGAGTAGAAGGGAATGTAATAAAAACCAACAAAGATATAATTTTTTTCCCATTAATTTCCATTTAATTTTTCGACCGTTCCTATGGCAGCTATATGATATAGTGATCCGATTTTAAAAACAAAAAAAAACGAAATTCAGAAATATATAAAAAAAAATATTCCCAAGAGTAGAAGGTAAAATTTCAAAAAACACCGGAGCTAGAATTTTTTTACGTTTTTTTTTTTTGATCCTTCCTATGGGAGCTATAAGATATAGTTGTCCGATCCGATTGGTTCCGACATATATACTACCTGCAATAGAAATACGACTTTTACGAAAGTTTCATCCCGATAGCTTTAAAACTGAGAGACTAGTTTGCGTAGAAACGGACGGACAGACGGACGGACAGACGGACGGACAGACGGACGGACAGACGGACAGACGGACATGGCTAGATTGACTCGTCTTGCGATGCTGATCAAGAATATATATACTTTATGGGGTCGGAAATGTCTCCTTCACTGCGTTGCAAACTTCTGTCTGAAATCATAATACCCTCTGCAAGGGTATAAAATTATTTTTTAATTAAACTTAAAACATTTAATTAATCCTATCATAATACATGCTACATACATCATCGTTAGCTAGAACTAATTGAGAATTCTAAGTACTCACCGAGAGAATCTTTATTAACTTTATCGATGAAGTGGTCCTTTTTAAATTGTATTGATATTAAAATAATATTTGGAAAAATATTTAGAGATTAATTTCCTTAAATTTTTATAAAGTTTTTTCCTAAATCGGCCCCTTATTTTCCCAGTGCATCTCCACATCCAATCTTCGGTCACGCAGTCAGCACCGAACTCAACTTTGACTTGTTTTCACGCCATTGTGATCATGTTGGTGACTCGTGCGCTTAATTTCAACAATTTGTTTGGCATTCGGTTGTATGAAGTGCAATGAGTTTCTAACTTGGCTTCAAATATCGAAGCTCGACTCTGAGGTCGCTGTCATTGATTGATTGGCCATCGGCTGTGGCGTTTCGAAAGAGCTTTTCACTCAACTCTTGTTAGCCCGTAATGGATCGTCAGGCATTACGTAAATTTCGTTTCTTGGTAAATGATGCTGACAAGGCATTTGATTAACACGATTAATTGCTGATAAAAATGTCTGACAGTTTGTTTTCTCCCGATGGAAATTTATTGCCCACTACTGGAAATACGTAGGCAGCCAAAAATATTACAGTAAATATGGCTTATTAGTAAGTAAAAAACATTTTAACAATTTACTATGCCAAATAATTTTTAAAATTTTCTCTAAAGTTCAAAAATGTTTAAGCATTTTATAATAACTTAGATCGTTTTGTTTTAATTTTATTCGTTTTAAATACTTTTGAAGCGATTTAATATTTATACACATTTTCCCCTTAGCTCTTATCTACTGTAATATTTAAATATTAATTGAAAAATCTGATATTCCTCTCGCTGCTAACGTGCCCACTCTCCTTCAATTTATTATGAAAAATGCATTTCTCATCGCGGCTTCCGCATAAATTCATCAGCTGCAGTCGTCCACTGTCATTTGTCCAAGCTGCGCCTGGCGCCATTGAAGCTGCCCCACCACCTCCTCCTCCTCCTCAAAACCATCAGCAGCAGCCACCCATCAGTGACTACTGTACGGTGGACATCCCGTGGCGGCGACCACCCAGGATCGGAATCGGGAGTGTAGTCGATTGGAGGAGAGATTCAAACGGTGGCAGCCAGCAGGCAGCAGCTGTCAACTGTCGCACACGACTTGTCCTTGTCAGTCAATGGATTGCCATCCGCCTGGCAGGGAACTTTGGGGCCAGGACCCAACCCGGGGCTTTGAGCATTTTCTATATTAAACTTTCACATTTTTTGACATACGGCCGGTGCAATCGGTATGCAAATTGACATTGCCACTGGAACGGGGAAACATATTTGGCAGTCGATTTCTTCTACGAAAGGGAAAATTTGAGATTATGATCAACTAAAGGGAAAAGGTTTAAATTGTATAGAATTTTGGCTTAAATTTTAGTACTAAATATTAAAGAGAACAAACAAATACTTTTTCAAATATTTTCTTTAAATCTTTATAGAATAGAAATTTGTTAAAAAACATTAACATTTTGATAAACATTTATTAAAAAATATTATTTTCTTGATTTAATTTCTGATTATTACGAATAAGAGTATTCGAACGGTATTTTTGATTTTTAAGAACACTTTTACAAAAATGATTAACGTTGATTAATTAACTTTAAAACTTTATAAATTTAACATAATTTAATATTTAGCGGATTTAATTCTTCGAAAATTTAAATGAAATATGTGAGTAAAAGAAAGCAGCGTATAAACCTTCACCTTCTTCCTCATCATATTTGTAACCCTAAGAACCGAGGAAAATCCAAAATAATTTCATGCAGACCAAAACGAATATTTTTCAATGTACTTTCGACAGCTCGGATAATTTCATATTTGTTAAAAAACAAAAGGCGGGATACCCAGAGTCAGAGATACCCAAATGCACAAGAAGATGTTGAGTGAAAAGCGAACCAAAACCGATCTTCCGCTTAACGTGAGCAGTCACAGATACTTATACTTTAAGATACAATTCACAACACATGTGGCATCGTTTTACATGAGATGCGTGCAGCGGTTAAAAATTGGGCAGAAAGCGTGCTTAATTGCGAGGAAAGTTCCATCGGGAAATTAGATGATCTCAGGCCCCGGAGAAGCGGACAAAATTGCTGGGGGAAATGACACAGACCACGCCCACTTCGGGATGAAGGCAAGTGCAGGGAGGCGTGAAGTAAAAAAGTGTGAAAAACCACACACACTCGATCGGTCATCCATCAGGGTTTCTTTTTTTTTGGTGAGCCCTATGGTAATCCCATTTCAGGGATATCACAAATGGAGCTAGGTAATTTTAGTAAAATTAATTGCATATCTTCGGGTGGAAAGAATGGTGTTCAACTTTACGCTTCACTGGCGTTAAGAACAAGTAAACTGATACCAACTCTTGTTTTGTTATCTTAAAAAGGGCATTAAAGAAAATGAGTATATAAAATTAGGTTTAAAATGCTCTTAGTGGATTTTAGATTAGGCAATTTAATACGTTTTTTAAGAACTGAAAAAAATAAAATTATAAATTTATTGTTAGTTATTTAATAGTTCAATCTTTTTTAAAGAAGAGCTAAAAATATTATTATTATTAAAAATATTTCGATATGAACACCAAATACTAACATCACCATAATTTTTAAAAATGTTGCTCTCAATATCTTCAAATTCTGAACGATAAGAAAATCATATAAATGCTTGTATAAATCCTTCAAATTAATTTCAGTTATAAATTATAATTGTACAAGACCTATTATTTAAGCTCACGAAAATAAGCAGCCATTTTCCCGGTCAGCTTTTTCAGACCTTCTCAGTGGGCGTTGCTTGAGCTCCATCTCTGCGTTTATTCCAACCTCATTGGCACTGATTCGTTCAGCTCGCCAAAAGCTGAAAAAACCTAAAAAAAATACCAACAAATTGTAATCTTCGCTGGCAACTCGTTTTGGGATTGGAGTCGTCGAGTATCGAGTAGAAACTGGTTTGCAGTCTTCGGGTGGCTTCTTCGCTGCCTCGTTTGGAATCAGCATCAGCAGCTCTTTAGCGCTCGTTCCCAAAACCAAAGTGTTGGACCAGACCACCAGAAAAAAGTAGTAAAAAACCAGATCGGTGTGTGTACTTGTCATGTAGTTGCTTTGTTGCCCCAACTTGGTGGCTCCTCTTGAGTGGATCTCTTTGTGGCTCTGCCCACTTTCGAGGCCGGTTTCGGAGCCGAGTGGTAGTGGCTGTCGATGTGGAGGTGGAGTGAGTGGGTCGAACCTGGCAGACCCACCAGAAATTGCCAGGCGATGATCCACCGACGGGTTTCGACTATACAAAGTCAGCCAACCAATTGGGTTTGCCATATGGAGACCAACAAAGCTATATAAAAAGGTAGCATTTTTAATCCGCAATAAAAATCATGCAAAGTATAAATATACTAAAACCATTTTACGGCCAATTAAATACATTTTTTTTCAATTATTTTTTGAACAATAAATATTTTTTAAAAAACTAACAAACTATACATTATACAAGTACTTGATAAATTGATACATTAAAATAATTAATCAATAATATTTAATTTAAACAGCCACAAAAACTGTGTTAAACTTAAAACTGTGTTTAACACTTTATTTTTTATTTTTATTTTATTGTTTAATTAATATTATTTAATTTAAAACCTCTTACAAATCGTTTAAACTTAAATAACATTTAAATTCCAGCTCATAAATTCTTCTTAAGAAAAGTTTAGGAAGATCAAAAGACATAATCCCCAACTAAACAGTTTTAGATGCTTTCAAATTCACTTCGCTTCCATGAGATCAAAGTTTACCCAAATTGACACTCACAACCTGTAATTTGCCATGTAAAATCGATAATCATTCGCAGCATTTTGTGCACCGCCCACATGGCGGTCTTAATCTGGGCGTGCCGCCGTGGTCGTGGGGCTGTAAAATTGTAAACAAAATGATTTGCCATAAAATTATCATAATGCCGCTCTCGAAATGCGCCAACAACATGTTGTCAACGGCTTGGAGCTTCGCTTCGAAATTCGAATAACCGAAAAATATACAATATACAGGCATCATCGAATTTTAGCCGCTGGCATTGAGAGACGTCTCGCTGCCATCAAAAAAGTCTCCATAAATTCTGGCCCACACACAATTGAACTTTTGGCAGGGCCCACAAAAAGCCCAGCCCAGCCACAAAATCAAACTCCAATTTGCGTCCGTAATTATGAGCGAACAGCAGCGGCCAAGAAATCAAGACGAGCTGGAAAATTTACATGCAAATCGGATTTCGTTGGCTTTTCAGGTGCCGAATGCTGCGCCGCTGAAAGAAAAAATGCCCAACACATCGACTGGCAAAACTGCTTGCCGCATGCAACATCAAAGTGGAAATTAAATGCGCGGTAATTTGGCAAAAGGCTCAAAGGATGCCGGCCCCATGGAATCGAAGGTTGGGGAACAGGGGAACAGGCCCAGTTGCCGCCAAACGTGTACAGGTTTTGTTCCTCTTTCAGCCAGCAAATTTTGTGATTACTGATTGAAGTGAGGAGCTGAGAAACTGCAGCTCAAAGGTTCCAAACTTGCACAGAGAAAAATGTTTGGGTTACATTTTATAATTATTATTATAATTATATTTATAATTATTAAACATATTATTTAAATTAAAAACATACCTACATTTTGGACAAAAGCACCTTTTTAAGACCAATATACATTTTTTAATAATATTTTGTGACTAAAATTTCTTAATTTTAAAGTAACTTGTCCGTACAGCTAGCGAAATTGAAAAACAAAATGCCACAGTAATAGAATTTCATAAAATAATTTTCTAAAATGAAGCTCTAAAAGAAGCTGAAGTGAACCGAATGAAAACATTTTCTTAATATATTTAGCAAGCAACAGGAACTCAAAGAGCTTAAATGATTTAACATAAAAAACTGTACACGAAGAAACCCTAAAAAATTGAAGTCTGTGATTACAGATTATTATCGTGAAATTGATCAATAGTAAAAATCTGGAATCCCATGCGCAAATTGCGCGTGATGAAATAGTCCTCGATGTTCATTTCGAAGGAATCTTTGCGTAGTGTCAAAAATATGTCCGCAAAGGTGGTGGTGCCCAGGGGAATTTGAAAGACCATTGAGTCCTCTCTTTCGACCCTGATAAATAGAATAAAATCCTTATGGATATGATTGTAATACCTATAGAAAGGCACTCACTTTAGCGTGGCCTCTGGGAACTTGATCTCCATGAAGGCGCTGAACTTTTTGTTCGGTGACATGGGAAAGTGATTGATGAGGTTCCAGGTGGCCCGTGACATGCTGACATTGGGATTCACCTTGCGCTTGAATCGCACCTCCAGCTGATATCCCCCCTTGTAGTTCTCGTTCTCGACATCCACTGTTCCAATGGTCCACAGTTGGCCGTCCAAGAGGAGCGGCGTTCGCTGGCACAGTCGCTCGGAGTCCAGAGCCGTGAGGTTGGTGTACAGAAAGCTGCATCCCATCGCCTGAAGGGTGGCGGTCATCATCAGGATGAGTTGCTTGCCCGTGGGATCCAATCCAGCCGGCACACCATCTACGCAAATGAAACTCGGGGATCCCAGGACGGCGTAGGCAAAGTACAATCGACGGATTTGCCCAGACGTGCACATTGCTACCGATCGATTCCAGCAGGGAGTGAGTCCCAGCATCCGGAGCAGGGAGTCGGCCAGTTCCCTGGCCATCTTGTGCCGGTGTCCCTGGAGCATGGCGTGAATATAGAGCAGATCACGGGGCGTGAACTCCGCCGGCAGATTGTCCCTCTGGGGGCAGTAGCCCACCTGCCGGTAGCACTGAAGTCGTTGGAGGAGCATCGAGTAGCCCCCGATCCAGATCTGTCCACTCCTCAGCTTCTCCTCGCTCACCAGCAGCTTCACCAGCGTCGTCTTGCCGGAGTTATTCGACCCGGAAATGCTAAGGCACTCCGTTCTAAGTACATCGAGGATTTGTTAACAAATTAAATATAAGTTTTTAGTTATAATAATAAAATAATATGATGCAATTTATATTTTTTTCATATGTCTTATAATACTTTTTTGAAATGGTTTAATATAATAATTAAATAAAATACATTCTTGAACTCAGGCAACAGTGCGTATGAGTGATTAACTTTGAAGTCACTTCGCAGATATTAATTTCGATATTAATTTTCGATATTAATTTCAAAAGTAAAATCAAATTTGTCAAAAAATTCTTAAAAATTGGTTTACTATAGTTCTTCAATAGAAATGAAAAAGGTACCTATTTATTAGAATTATATTCTTTGAAAGAAGGTATATGAAAAGCGTGCTCCTAAATAATAAAAATGTTATAAGAATCTATATAATCCTTTTTCATTGCGAGTGATATTTAATTACTTACTTGGCCACAGAGAAGTCCAGGTCCCTAATCACCTGTTCCTTTCGCTTTTTAGTGACCATTCCCATTCCGATAGCTGCGTATTGGTTGCGCTCCTCCTCCGTTAAATGACTGGTCTGGAATTTTTCAGCGATGACCGCAGAGTCCTGCGACAAATGGCCGGGATAACGACCGCTATCCCTATTTCCAACGGTCTCAGGAGCTTTCTTCGATGCCCTGCGGCATCGTCCGAATCCCACGATCGAATAATACTCCGAGATGAACAGTAAAATCCCGCATGCAACGACAAACAACGCCAGCACACCAAGTTCTTCTGGAATTCCGGGACCAGGGGTAAGGTAGTCCATAGATACTATGAATTTTAATCGGAATAATTAATAATAAAAAGTTCGGGTCAGGTGAAATGTAGTTAATCAAATTAATGCTTAACTGCAGCAGTTGGGAACGCTTTCGCACTTGAAGACCTCGACGGAGGTGAAGTTCACAATGGGATCCTGGCAGCCCACTTTCCACTCGTAGATCTCAAAAGTCTCGAACAGTATCACTGCCACCGTGAACATGGGAAAGAAGCCCAGTTCTAGGGCCATAAATCTAATGCCAGTCGTATATTTCATTGCAAATAACAGAAACCCATGAGCGTTTATTCCGCATAGCAACAAATATCCATAGCACGGGTTCCGGACGACACCCGATATCAGATAACCGAGCAGGGTCACATAAAGTCCAGCCAAAAGCAAGGTTAGCGCTATAAAAACTGGGGTATCGATAAATATGATCAGTAATTGAGATGGTACTCTAATGAAATCTCACAAAAAATCACCGTATAGCATGGCATCGTGAATGGGTTCCACGTAGATGGCCACCAGAGCCACAGTGCAACAGCAGAAGATCAGCAGGAAGAATAGGTCGTACAGGAACATGGAAATCCAGTAGCCCCAAATTCTGGCTCCGGCCAAAAACTGTTGCTTTTTCAACAAGCTGCCACGCTCGCTGATCAGATAAACCGCAAATGCTGGCCAAACGAAACTGAACAGTAAGCAATAGGTGAATGCCACACAGCCATTAAAGCCATGTTGTGCCGGTGGAATCATGTTGAGGCGCGTCCGGAAGGGAAGTGGCTTCAGGGTAACATCAATGGTAGTCTCTTCGTCGAAAAGGTGCCTGCAATATGTAATAATCCGAAAAATATTTAAGTTTTTTACACTAAACCCTAAAGAAATTCTTGTACTAAAAAAAAAAAAACAAAATAATAGATTTTGGGGTCACCAACTGGTCAAAAAAAACATGTGATGTGATTATTAAAGCTCACCAAATTTTAAAAATATACGAAATTTACTCATAAATGATTAAGAGACTTAAAAATCAAGAGTGTGATCAAATTTATTGGCCAAAAAGTAAAAATTTGGGGTCACCATGTACAAAAATTTTCAAAAATGTTTCAGAATATACCCAAAATGATCCAAACCCACCTTGCCACCGCATTGTGAACCACATTCAAGGAATAGGGAGCCGTATGCAGAAGTATATTGTTGAACCAGGCGGTGACAATATTCTCATCAAAGGTGGCCCCGAATATGTGTTGACCGTTTGCGCGGCTGCTAAAATCGCTTTGGGTCAACAGTGCGTATTTGCTGCGATGGTTCCTCGTCAGCGTCGTCAAATGGGCATCGTACCAATAGAGCAATTCCGTATAATAGGCGTACATGTTCTTGACATCCTCCTCCTCGGAAAACAGCTCAACGAAGGCATCCACGGTGTTCAGCTCGCTGAGGTTAAAGGTCAGCGGCACCAACTGGAAATTCTTACCGTAGATCATAATGCTGGAGAAAATGACCAGCGCTACTATACAATAGAATATTAGCTCGAAAATAAAAATGATCCAATGTCGATAGGCCGTGATCCAACGTTTGTAGAAAATTGCCCTGCCATAAGGGTTGTATAATGAAGATGGAAATAATATTAATATAAAATCGATCTAATTATCGAAAATATTAAAACTCTTAGAAAAATATTAATAAATTTTGTTTTGTCGAAAGAATCGAATTTACTGTGGACCATCCATGGTACCTTAAATATAATTCCGATTAATGGATCCAAAAACCGTACTACTTTTTTTGAAACCACAGTTTTCAAATTGATCACTCTTTTCACATACCTCGCTTGCAGCAAACTCAATTTCCAGCCCGTCAGTCTCCCCTTCTCATTGGCCTCCGCCAAGGTGGCATAGTACTCATCCAGCATACCTTGGGCATTCTCGGGCGACTGCAAAACGCCGCTCTGGTCGTTCTCCTCGCATCCAAATCGCAGGAAGATCTCCTCCATCGAGGTGTCCCGAATCCGGAAGCTGACCACACCCAGTCGCCGCATATTGTTCTCCAGATCTTCGATCAGTATGGGAAACATATCTTCGTACCTGTTCTCCAGCACGAATGTGATCTTATAGCCAATATCCCTCTCGATGCCGATATTAGGCATATAACTGTTCATCAGGATGAGCAGTTCCTCCAAATTGCAGTTTTTGCCCTTCACACAGGTCTTAAAGTAAAGAAGGGAGTTTACTTACGCTAATATAAAACGCGAATTCTTAAGACTTAAAACTACCGAATATTAAGATAACTAAAAACAAAACCTAAACCCCCACTTTAAAACTTTATAGGACATTTTCACAAATTAGAAGACGATTCCTCACCAATCGATAGCCATGTCCGTACATATTTTTCAAAAAGGGTTTTGTGCCGGTACACTTGAGTTCCCCATTCGACATGATGGCCATTCGATCGGCAATATTTTCAGCGAGCGGCGGAGAGTTGCAGACCAGAATAATGGTGCGCTTGGACTTCTCCTCGTTGATCAGATTCCATACCAGCATCTGGGTGCGCTTATCGAGGTCCGAGTGTATATCGTCTATAAGGACTATGGGACTATTGCCCACGAAGGCACTGCAAATGCTGACCAAGCACAAATCGCGGGCGGTGAGTTTGCGGATTCGCTTGGCCTTCAAATCTCCGATTTGCAGGATGTTTAGAAAATAGTTGGACTGTCCATCTATTTCTATCTTATTATGCAGTCCCTTGACCCGGCAGATAAATCGCAAATAATCAATGACACTGTAGGCTGGTATAAGCAATTCATTACCAAAGGCAATGCCCAATTCCATGGATGCCGCCTTCCTCTCCGTCTGTATATTATAGCTCGATATCATCACAGTGCCGCGAGTGGGTTCCAAGAAGCCGGCTAGGATTTTGAACAGTGTACTCTTGCCACAGCCATTGTGACCCATCAGCACGGTGACCTCGTTCTCGTACACATTCCACGAGAAGAGATTCAACGCCGGACGATCGTTGGCCGCAAAACGCTTGCAGAGCTTCTTGATCTTCAGCTTGAAGCGCCGATGCGAGGGTTCCACCTCATAGATCTTCGTGGAATTAACCCCAATGGCCTGACCCTGATGCGTAAAGCTATCCGCTCGTTCCTGATACGGATCCTCATGGACACTGGCATTGGCCGACTGCTTTTTCATCTTACCCGATCGATCGCTCGCCCGCCACATGTCCACATACAGACCAATCACTAAGTACACCAATGAGTTCACCATGAGGATCCAGCTGCTCGAGGCCACTGTTATGGGACCCTTGCTATAGTTTTGAGTATAGTCATGATCCTCCCACGGAACATGGGCCACCGACTCGCGTTCGATCAGGCAATCGAATACCAGGGCAATTACCACATTTGGCAGCACATAGGCTATATATTCCATGGGTTGTATATGTCCACTCTGGTTATTCCACAGCGCAATAATGGGCAAATAGGAAGTTAGCCAGACGAGAGTTAGTACCCGAACAGCGTTGAGGGGATTCCGGAAAAACCCGGCCACCATTAGCGAAAGGGCAAGCGAGGCGCAGTTGTAGCAGAATAGCACTACGATCAGTACGTGCCAGGGCGTTTGGGGCAGTACCCCGTGATCCTGGTCCCAGCGTATCTTGGGAGAGAGAAAAGATATCGTAAAAATAACCACTTACAATGATCAAGCTTTACCATAGCATCTACCATACCAAAATTGGCATTCTGCCCTAAAGATCCCGAGATCTAAAAATCTAGCAGAACTTACTATTGACCGATTAGGAACATAGCATTTTAATATGATAGCTTTTTACCATAGAGACTCACATACCAAAATTGGCTAAAGGAAACTGAAAAGGTCCTGAGATCCAACAATCTAACAGAATTTACAATTGACCAATATAGAACATATCATAATAATATGAGAACTTTTTAAAATAGAGTCTCACACACCAAAATTGGCTTAAGGAAATTGAAAAGGTCCTGAGATGCATAGTAAATTAAATGTTGATATTGTTACCACTACTAAAGATTCTCACAAAATCGGAACAAAATTTCTTAAATTGAGTAGCTATGCTTAAAAAATTAGTAAAACCTACCTTTAAAAGCACCACTATAATGACCGAGCTTATCATCATGTAAATCAAACCCTTGAGGTACCAGGAAACAAAGTGAATAAGATTGCCAATGTTCATGTTGACCAGAAATAGGCGAAATTGGGACTGCTTCTCACTGACCACCTGCTGCAAATAGAGATCAAAATACAAATAGTTGAAGGTTTTCTAATAACCCAAGATTCTTAACTTACCCAAACGAAAAGCTGGGCAGGGAAGAGGAACCCGATGACGATTAGGATGGGCACACCGTAGTCCAAATTAAACATCATGGGATCCTGTTTGTGTCCGATTACGGGAAAGCGCCTCAAATGGATGGTCGGCAGGGGCTTGCGGCTGGTAAGGAAGAGAAAGGATTCGGTGACGGACTTCTGCAGCCGGATGAATCCTTCGCGAACGTAGCCCACAAATCCGCCCTCAGACGGCTGATCTAGCCGATCGATAAGGTAGCTGAACGTATCGTACTCGTACATCGTCATCCAGTTGGCGTTTCTGAAGTCGCCGTCCATCATCCTCAGCTCGCTGGGCATCATGATCGTATAGTTGAGCAGCGTACTGACGATGTCCGGGTTCTTTATGGTGCCCTCCTCGAAGCTCTGGTGCCTGGTAAACGTATCCCCATCGAAACAGATACCAGCAAACAGGCTATTCTCCACCATCGCCTTTTGCAAGCGATCGCAATCCTTGAAACTCAACGTGGTCATTGGATCGACCTCCCTCGTGACCCGCTCCATCATCGATTGAAAGACGCGATAGTCGTCGGGTGCCCAACCGATAATCAGATGCGGTGTGAATGGATTCGCCTTTATATTGGCTTTATCGGCCACCAGTCGCGCCTTCTGCAGCTTCTCCACCATCTTCAGCCAGGCGTCGTCCAAATCTATGGGTCCGTAAATCTTATCGGAGTGAGAACCCACCTCTATAAAGAAACGCATCAGAATGGCCACTAGGATGAGCAATGGTGGGAGTAGCACTGTGATCAGTAGTTCCAGCGGATTGGCGAACTGTATCTTGTGGTTCTTCTTGTTTATCAGTATAAACTTGCGGATATAGTCACGCACGGTCATTGTTCTAGGATTTTTGGTTATAGGCTTCAATTTCGTAAATGCCAACAGAGGTTACTGTGATTAAGTCGTTAACAAAATTTAAAAAATGAGAACATTGCTTCTTCTTATTTTGAGTTTAATCTTCTCTCTCATTTTCAGGTTTAATTAGTTACTAATTCAAGAACATTATAGAATCAGAATGTGAACTAATAATTTTAAAAATTAAACCCTTTTCATAAATATTTTCTGCACATTAGCGTTTTAGAAAGTTAGAACTATTTATTAGGCACACTTTAGTCCCCTTTTATTTTCCGTCCTAAGCGATATAGCCTGCCAAGTCGCCGTGATTTCTGCAGATGGCATGCGTTGAGAACCCAAAAGGCCCCTTCAAGATCGACCGCCTTTAATTACCCACATCAATAGTGGAATGTTGGCCGAATGCGAATGCGAACGAGCAGTTGGCATGCAACATGTGCATTTCACCAATAAAAGCGCTAATACATAACTTTTGTGCAATGCAATGCCAGCCCAGAGGCGAATCAAGCCAACCGTCGTAATCTACAGTGTAGCCTCCCTTTGGAGGCTGTCAGATTTGCTGTTGCTGCACACGAAGCGGTGTTCTTAGACCAGTCTTTACTAATGCACAGATGTACAATTGGAGCTGGGATGGGTACGTAGTATGGGTAGAATGGGGCAGGATGGGGAGTGGCTGCCCTGGGCGAGGACTCCCCGAGGTGTGAAACCGTCTTGTCATTTGCCGTAAGTGAGCAGCAGGAATGCCTGCTAAGTGGAAGGCCACCATGGGCATAGTGGTTCGATACCATAGCTAGAAATATTTAAAAATATGTGATAAAATATAGAAAATTTTAAAATTATAAGCCTGTATATTTTAATACTAAATCCAAATATCCAATTAGTTTATTTACCTCCTACTGTAATCCCATTTAATCGCCTTATAGCGACATGTGCTGAACCAGTTTGCCTCACATGCAATCCAATTTATATGCAAATTATTACATTGGCTTAATAAAGTAATCTTCAGTTACAAAATTAGCTAAGCACGTCTTTGGATTAATCCATTTTTATACCCGTTACTCGTAGAGTAAAAGGGTATATTAGATTCGTGCAAAAGTATGTAACAGGTAGAAGGAAGCGTTTCCGACCCTATAAAGTATATATATTCTTAATCAGGATCACTAGCCGAGTCGATCTAGCCATGTCCGTCTGTCCGTCTGTCCGTCTGTCCGTCTGTCTGTCTGTATGAACGCTGAGATCTCGGAAACTATAAAAGCTAGAGGATTGACATTTTGCATGCAGATTCTACGAGTTCCTACGCAGCGCAAGTTTGCTTCAAAAGGGTGCCACGCCCCCTCTAGCGCCCACAATCGCTTATATACGATTTTAAAAATGTCAATATTTCGGAAAAGTAAAAATGCAGTTTTATTGTGTTTATCAATACCTATCGAAATGTAGAAGAAATTTTTTAAATCGGACCATTCGTTAAAAAGTTACGGCGGATCAAAGTTTTTATCTCCATCTCCTTCGCACTCCCTTTAGCTGAGTAACGGGTATCTGATAGTCGGGGCACCCGACTATAGCGTTCTCTCTTGTCTTTTTATTATAATAAAACCCGTTTCTTTTTTACTACAATCTTTCTTTAAAGAAACCAAAATAAATGAAACTTTTTTTTTCTAATGACATTTTGTTCTTATAATTTTTTAAACACTAAAATATGAAAAACACTTTATGAAAATATTTTTAAATATTTTAACATCATAAATATTTTTTCCTAATGATTTTTTTAACACTTAAAATATGAAAAACAACTGATATTGATATTTTAAAAATTTAAAATCATAAAAAATTGTTTGAAAAATGTTTTGTAATAAAATTCTTATAAAGCATATCTCACCACTGTTCTGCTGCCCCACGAAGTAATCAGGAATGCTCTCGACTGTTTTGTCCAGTACAGAACAGATCAGAAACAGGTAAAGGTAAAGGCATAGGTAGGGGCAAAGTGGCCATGGCAAGTCCTGTTGCGATTTGCAACATTTTTATGATGATTTAGCATTCGCCCGCGGAGACAGCGCAGCGACTGCTGCAGTTGCTCCTGCACATGCTGCCGGGGATCTCCTTCGATGCGATGCTCCTCTATATAGCCATAAAATCGTGTGACATATCCGCAATTTTTCAAGCTGCCCGCGCCTGCGTTCAAGTGTCGAAGTCGCTCTTAACGGCGCTCACCCGCTGCGAACTGCAGAGCTCCAAAGCTACCCCAACCCACAAGATCCGACCAAAAACCCACCAGTACACCATGCTAAGTCCCGAATATCCAGTATCCCCAGTCGCCGTTCGCTGGAAAAAGTGTCAAAGCAATTTGTTCAAGCAGCCGTGAATTTGTGTGGGCGGCATTTCGCAGAATCTGGAATACGGGGTACCAGAAAAACGCCCCCGAAAAACTAGCGACGACAAATGCTTTCAATAGTCAGTCAGTCGACGGGCGATTGTTTTTCGCACCGATAACCATCGACGCCATCTGATTGCTCGGTTTTCTCATTATTATTCGCCCACACATTCCAAATTCGAATTTGAATTTGCAGTGGCCATTGGCAACTAATTGCCAGCGATAATGCCGCCAGATTCTCTCCGTTTTTTTTTGTTTTTTTGGCAAACTGCTGACAAATTATTTATGATACGATTTTTGGGTAGCCTAGCCCGCTTCTTTTTTGGCTAGACAAATTACCATTTTTAGTCTGGCACTGCGAGCGCGATAATGAATTATGTTTATAGTGTCTGGCGTTTAATTATTTTGGGCCACGATTGACTGCCTTTTTTGATGGCCCCCACAAGTGGTGACCTTTGAAAGGAGGGGATTAAGTTATTTGATTTAATTCATAAATATTAAATGATAATATTAATGATATGACTTGGAAAATATATGTTTATGATCTTAAAATTAGATTTAATCGGTAAATATGATTTAAAATAAAAAATAAAAATAATTATGGCTTAGAAAAAAATATATTTATGATACTTATATTTAATTTAATCGGTGAATGTGATTTAAATGATATAATAATATTAATAAATGTTTAAAAAAATATGTGTTAAAGAGGTGAACAGTTTGAGAGCCTTAAAAAGTAAAATGAGAACTTTGTGCTTATTTTTGTTAAAAATAAAAATAAACTTGCATCGACCGGGAATCGAACCCGGATCACTCGCATGGGAGGCGAGCATTCTACCACTGAACCATCGATGCTTCCTTGAAAGTAAGAGAAAAGTTAGTAAGCATAAATGCATTTTTTTTTAAATTTATAATTGAAAAAAATAAACTACCCAAAGAAATGTCAATAAATACAATGATAATGGCGGATGTCCGGTAAGTAAGCCAAACTCCATCGAGGACTTGGATGTGGGAGTTCGCCCGGAGAGGCGGATCCCATCTACAGTGGATGCCCAAGGCCTGAGTCAACTGGCGATTCCTTTTGTTCTATGCCGTCAACGCTAAACACTCACGTCAGCCAATAAATCCACTTCACTGCGCCAATCGGGGGATCTCACTCTCGGGGGTTCTGCTTTTCGCACAGCTTCCAAATGGGTTAAGAAGGAGGGCTTGGGGATCTAGAGGATCAGAGGGGGGGCTGGATATCCAAGGATGAGGAAAGCCGGTTTCCCTTTAGGTGTCAAAAGCAATAAAACGCCGGCCTGTAATCAACGCGATCCTAAATAGGTGTACAAATTACACCAAAGTCCTTAATTATAGCGAAACCGCCAGCGTCCAAGCATCATTCTTACACTGCGAAAAATATCAGTTATGTTTTTTAATTAGTTTTTTATTTACCAAAGCAAATGGTGTACTAAAGGCATAGTAAAATTTAATTTAAACTAATTAATTTAATATTATTTCTCTCCCATTTTCTGATGCTACAAGGATTTTCCTATAATAATAACCTTTTTTTTAATTGCTACAAATATTTAAATTCTTAAAATAATTTTTAAAAAATTGTAAAAATGAATTTTACTAGAATAATATAATTTCCTCTTTACTGTTTCTTCTTTAAAAATTCCATAATTTTATTATGATCGATATTTAACCATATTTTTCTGCGTGTAACTCCACTCTTAGGTTAGTCTCAACTCCCAGCCAAAGTTTAACCACAAAACGCCATCGTGATGGTTTTGGCCCTGTCGCTGGCTGTTTACTCTCGGATCTCAGTTCTCATTCCTCGACTCTCCTGGTTCCTGGCTTTCGATGGTTCTTGGGGTTCCTTGATGCCCCGTCTTTGGATTCAGTTTGCTCTCGTAGTAGGACCGGCACTATTAAGAATTTGGCACGGTGCTGCTGCTGCTGTGGCGTATAACTTACACCCAGATCGATCAGTGCAATTGGTGTAAATGTACTTGGCCACAACGCAAAACAGCAAAAAACCTGGAAAAAAAGGGGAAACCAAATCAGAGGGCTAGCACTTGGCGCTCGTAGTTGGCCCGGTTGGTCTCTTTTGGCCATGCCGCACGTTCGTGCTGCGAAAATTACATTTGATCGATTTGATCGGCGCTACAAGATCAAAGGAAATGAAAGACGGCGACGAGAACGCCGACGCGGATGCCGGTGCGGATATGTTGCGGATTTATTGCGGATGCGGAGGTGATCTGAAAGAAGGAGGACCCTGCACACCGGCGTTGATCGTTTATTTTTTGCAGTTTGTTATACCCTAGATGGCAAAGCATTTCAGCATTATCATATTTATTGCTAATAGAGGAGAGGGTTCTAATAAAAAGACAACTAGAATCCGTAACTGAAAAGATTACTCACAAATAAACAACATATTTTCTTAACAAGTAAACATATTACATGTCTGATAATTTTGTAATTCGAAAATTTTAGGTATACGTTAACTACATTTTTTATAGTTTCTCATTTTTCTAAAAACTTTCCCTTTATTGATAAATTGCAAAACTGCCTCTAAAGCTTGCCTAAAACCAATTGAGATTACATATGATGAAAAATAAATTAGCAATTG